GCACAACTTATAGGGGTTTTCATTTGCTATATAAGCGTAGAGAAATTCAAAACATTCTACACATGGTGAACGCAATATACGTATACGATACGTTCAATGTGTTCAGTCATATGCAAATTAGGTAGTTACGCGTCATTGTGAAAACCATAGAATGGTAGCAGAGCGTTTGTTTTCAAACACCCGTAATGCAGTTATCATTTTATTAAACACAAGTAATACAGTTTATTTATACAAGCTACAGTATGTTTAAACATAGTTCGACCACGACGTAGTTTTACCCCGAACAGCGTTTGACACGGTTACTCACAGTGGTTTGACCGACGGTTTGACCTACAATAACGCCCTCGTTTAATAGACAGCGCCGCCAGCGACTGTAGGCAAGTCATTAAGTAGGCAAGTAACATTATTGGCCCGTTCACAGTCCTGTGGTCCGTCATTGGCAACTCATGACTCTATAGATCGTCTGTCTGGATACACTCTTTATCATCAAGTAACCAAGTAACAGTAAACAATACTAAACACAGTATTCGTTTCATGAAAACACGACTAGGGGTATTTCTGGCACGTACTCTCTGTTGCAACTTTTTAAATTTGCGAACACGATTTTCATTAAATCCGCTATGTGATAATGAGAAAAGCATTAGGAACTGTGCAGGAACTGTGTAAATGTTTTCGGAGATTAAACGTCAACCTGTTTCAGTGGCCCAACGTCACGTGACATTGATTGACAGTAGTTAATTATTCAAGTTTATTAGCGCGTCCCCTTTTCCGGTTCATGTTTTTTAGTTTTATCTGCCAAAATCTCAACTCGTACATCATTTATTGTCATAAATACTATATCTAATCACTGATGTGATATTCATAGTCATATACATCCAATTTAGTACGACATAATCAAGCTGTGAAAACTCGTCTTTACCGGAGCTTGGTTACCATGAACTTTGAATATCACAGCAGTGATTAAATATAGTATCTATGACAATAAGTAGTGTACAAGTTCAGATTTGTCGGATAATTGTCAAAAAGACGAACTTGAAAATAGGACGCGCTACTATTAAAGCTTGAATAATTAACTGCTGTCAATCAATTTCACGTGACTTTAGGCAGTTCACAATGCTTTTCTCATTATCTCATAGCGGATTCAACGAAAAGAGTCGCAAATTTAAAATTCGTCACAGAGAGTACAAGCCAGAAATACCCCTATTCATGTTTTAATGATATGAATACTGTATTCCGTCATATACCTTAGGCTCTTTCTAAGGTTTGGTATTGTTTACCGTTATTGTTACTTGGTGATAAAAAGCGTATTCCAGAAATAGCGCAGCATATGACGGTAAATAGAACATGAATAAGACACGGACCAGACGATTTCAGAGTTTCCGATGACGGACCAATAATGGTACACGTGACTCAGTACTAATTAATTACTGGCTTCTTCATCATGATGTTATGTTTAGTTGTTGGTAAATTAATTCCGTAACTAAGTGCCCACGCGCCGGCCAAATTAAATTTTTAACGTGACTACTAAATCTAGCCTTCGAAGTCACGCTAATAGTAGGTGAACAAATGACTAAAATATTTATTTTAGATACTAGTATACAAGTTCCGACTTTCCTTGTATAACCGGCCTCGTGCACATTAGAAAATGTACACTAGTCGGCATATAGCAGTTTTTAGCTCCGCTGTCGACTTTGTCGAGCGGAGCTTATCATATGAGTGATTGTCCGTCGTCCTCCGGCGTCCGTCGTCCGTCGTCGTCCGTGTCAAAGTTTTACTTTTTCGACTTCTTCTTGAAAACTACAAGCCTGAATGTTTGGTACTTGGTGTATATGTACCTTGGGTAGACCTCTCTCAGATTTGTTCATTTCATGATGATATCTTCAATTCTCTAATTTTGGTGAATATTTTTGTCATTTTTGGTAAAAAGTGATATTTTCGACTTTTTGTTAAAAACTGCAAGTCCAATTGCTTTGATATTACATATATAGGTACTACATGTGGATCTCTCTCAGATTTGTTTATTTTGTAATGA